TGCCAGGAGCCCCTAGTAGCGTCCTTGCTCCTAGTAGCGATGCCAGGTAGCGTCCTTGTTCCTAGTAGTATGAGTTAGTTACATGGAAAAGAGATGAAAACAGTCACATCGAGTTGGCTCATGTCTTCCTTCGATTGGCCTTTGTGTCTACGTTCGATTAGGCGTCAGCGTACGAAAACAGTCTAACATAGTCCAACCGGTGCGGAGATGGTCCGAGACTGCTGACAAGCAGCGTTACCAGGTTCTTCGCTGCATTCCCTTGCACCCCTGGCAACTTAGCGCCAAAATGAGGATGACAATTTATGGACAAATGTCCTTTTTGTTTTTGTATGTTTTTTAATGTTTCTATCTCTTTCTCTTGTTCTTCGTTGTTCTCTCTCTCGCCCCGTCTTCCGAACGGGACATTCTGTATGGCCCCGGCTCAAGTCCGATTCCTCCACCTGGAAAATGTCGTACCTCTTCGACCAAACCCCACTCACATTTTCTGGAGAGCAACCTTTCCCAAACTTCAAGCGTTGCTCTCACTTTTAGAAACAGACCTTGAAGCGTTTCACCACATTTGTTTCTTCACACAAGTGAAAATCCATCCATCTCTTCCGCCCTTTTACTCTCCCTGGTGCATCTGCAGCTCGGTGCCAGAGTCTCCGCTGTCCCCTTGCAGGTTGGAGTGTGTTGGAGTGCGGAACAAAGTCTCCCTAGTTATATAGATTACTGGATGTCATATTGACGTCGACAAACAAGACTCAATGACTTGCCTTGCCTTCGTTGCCTTCGTCATCCTGCATAAGTGACTGCCCTCGCTTTCCACAATTCCTCAGATTGTGCGACTGCCGTGGCTCGCCTGTGTGCCGGTCTCAACGCCAGGGCACTTGTATAGCAAGCAGGCTTTGCAGTTCACTGCAAAGTGTGTGGCAAAGAACTTGCAATCCTCAGGTCCACGCAGTCCAGTCCACACGTCCGTTCTTTTTGATTGAAGAATTCTAGCCAATGACCTCCATCTGGACATGGTGGTTTGAGTATTGAGTTCTGTCAACTGAATTAGAGGTTCTTCCTTGCCATGTGCAGTCCAGGCACACTTACGATGGAGCAAAGATGAAAGCACTCATCTACCGACTCCACATTGCAAATGCCTCCAAGTCGTGCTGTGGCGCTTCCGATTCTCACTTCCGTTGCCATGTGTGTAGCAACATGTTGGGCAACATCCAACATGTTGCATCAAACACATGTCCGCTCAAACCCTTTTCCCAAACTATTTTTGGACATGTGCTCCGTTTTCTTCTCACATAAAGACATTTAGAGTGCATTTCAAGCGCCTGGCTGCTCTCGGGTAGTGATTAGCTTCCAGTCCAAGAGCTTCTCCTCTGTGAGATACGGATACTCCTGCGCTCACAGTCGGAGCAATCGTCTCCAAACACAAAAAGTGCAAAAAATCACATCTCAAAAAACGTACAAGTCATTCGAAAATGAACTCCATTTATCTCGCCGAAGGTCTCGATTCGCCCACTGCCGCAGTCCGCTCTCAGTCCGTTCCCGTCATTTTAGAGGCGTCCGGGTCGTGACTCGAGACTTCTTTGGGTCCCAGCTTGAAGTAGTGGAAGGTCGCCTCGACAAAATTTGTGAGAATCGATTGTCCAACGGTAGGGATTATAAGGCAGGTAGGGGATCAAGGGGATGTGACCATTCACGAGATTTATCCGTCACTATGCAAAGCTGTTTTGAAAAAGGGAAAACTCAAGTCGAAATCGAATCCGATTGGTCGGCCTCGCAGCCTGGCTCCATGGGAGCGAAGCAGAACACGCCCATCTTCCAAGGTTTGTCGCCGCGAAGACTGGCTATTCGGATGAAGGAGAAACTCCCTGGGCATGTCGCTAGACCATCAAATCGAGGAAACGGGTGTTTCTGAAAATCTGCATATAGTATATTGGAAATATGCCGCATTGTGCCCATACACTATCGGGATCTTCAGCATGTTGGAGAATGGAATTCAGAATCTTCCGAAAGCAGGTTTGACCTGCCAATTTTCGCCCAGATAGCGATAGCTATGGGGTTCTTATTCCTTTAAAAAATTAGCTGGCTGTGGCGCGGCTGGTGCCGGTGCTGGGTGCTGGTGCCAGTGTTGTGAGCTGTCTGTGCTGGCTGCGCGTACATTCTAGTTCCAGCCATCCGCATACCGACAGCTACAGAACTTGAGTCGTTGGATTCTGCCTAGCTATCTGGGGGGTCTATGCTGGCGTATTTTTCGTCAGCACAAGTTTTCCTCACGAGCCAAGGTCATCATCTTTCCGGCCTTCATTCAGTGATAAGCGTCTGACACCAAAAAGTGATACAACCCTGACCCACTCAGAAACAATGCGCCTGGGCTATCTGCGTGGTCCTCAGCATTGAAAGGCGCAGCTTCTACCACAAGCGCGGGGCCTTGTTCAGGACCAGGAAATTCCTGTCAAACATTGTGACAATGTTGTGACACATTGCCCCCCCTATATGCCCATCGGTGACACCCCAAACACCCAAAGCAGGCGTCAGCACTAGTGCGTGCAATTCAATGCGCAGGTTGCTGCGCCTACGTATATGTGTATGTGCGACAGAGTGCGTCTGCACACGCACGTGTGTGCGTGTGTCCACACCTGTACCAAAGCGCAGGGGGCAGTGACAGAGTTTGTGGAATCACTGCCAACGAAGACGTCCACATTCTCTGGTGATGCATCGGGAGACGTCCTGATGTGTACCTGCAGCTTCACGATCAGATGATGTAAACAATATTGCTCCGGGCTCCCTCACCTTGCCGTTCTCTCTCAGGGCCGTTTCTCAGGGCTCAGGCAGACCCCTAAACCGGTATCGTAATCACTAGAGTGGATTGCCTCAACTGATTTAGCTCTTGCGAGCATCATCAATCTAAGTGTGTAACCTTTGGAGTCACAAGGTTCTTGTTGGAGTGTTTTTTCTTTGCAGTTTACTTGTAGAGCAGGGGGTGCCAGGGACCGTGCAAGTCTGGCACTAACAAAGATGCTTGCGCTGGTCTGTGAAATCAATCCAGGACGCCGGATTGACGTACCTGCGTGGAAAGGAACCTACGTAAAGCACAAGCTGTCCACTACGTTGTTTCCGTCAGTCAAGGGCTAGTGCACGACCCGTCCGTCGTCGCTCTGTCGCCGCCGCTCGCTTTCATGTTTATAGGTTTTGGAGGCCTCAGACTCTAACTTTCTACCTGGAACCTTAGGCGGTTTACTTAGGCTGGCGTGTGGCAAGCCGCAACCAAATCAGTATGCAAAATCTTAAGTGTGTGTGTGTGTGTGTCCACCCTTGTCCCCAAGGGTTTTCACGCATGTCCGAATTCACAGCTGCGTGGGGCGTGACGGTTGATTTCCTAGTCACGCCAACGAAGCTATGGAAATCAAATGGATGGAAGCTTGGACGCAAACTTCCGTACCTGCCACTGTGTCAACACTCCACTCTCCACCGCTTTTTTTGCTGCCAAAGTTGTTCTCATGATAGACCCCTAAACCTTTCCCACTGCTTCTCCAGCTGCTTGTCGCCGCGTGAAAAAATTGTTTGAACACTTCAGTTGTGCTGACTTTGCACCTTTCCGTTCCCTCATTCATTTCCTCGTGGATTCTGGTACTGAAAGAACCTGCGACAAAGTGTGTATCGCTGTGCTTTCCCACTTGGGTGCGCAGTGTGATCCCCGCAAGGGGCGCCGAAGCCACTGTGAATCACACATGGACTCGGCGTTTCTGCACTCGTGGATTATGGCGACTTTCCTTTTGCCCCAGCCATGAATCACCGGACCCCAAGGCTGCCGAGCTACGGTTTTCAACGCCGCCGGGCATACGGTTTACACACACATGTACATACACCCCTTCCCCCCTTTTCCCCCCGCTTTCTCTCTTGCACGGTCTGGTGTGAGGAGTGGAGAAGGGCGAATGGAACACCGATGGATGCCACGCTCCTCATCAAGGGTTGGGGAGAAGCAGCACACACCAATGAAGATTGCTCCAGGCTTGCCAGAGAGCGAGAGAAGATGCACTCCCTGCACGAAGTGCAGGATTATAGTGCCATGAAGGGAGAAATGAAGATGGAAGATGAAAGAGCGAAAAGGCAGTTTGAGCTGGAAATCGGTTGGACACGACCGAACTTCGAAGTGGGATTGCAATAGCCTGACGGCATTCCAAAGGGGGAGTGTTCGCTCCTTCTGCATTGAGCATGTTAGCATATGTTGTGAACCGTAGCTGCCTTTTTGGCACAGACCGCCCCAAAGGAAAAAGCTAGCGGTCGTGCGAGCTATCAGTGACACTTAGCGGAGGTGCACTAGAGAGACGGAGCATTTAGGTTTTTGGGCCTGACGGAAGTCAGTTTGGAAATTTCTTTGCAGGTTGGACCCCTGTGCACCGCTCAGGTTCTACCTATATCGAGGTTTCTAGGGTTGGGGGCAATCACATCGTACGAACTTGTATCTTGAGTGTGTGAGAGAGGGAGCGAGAGCGGGAGTGTGTGTGTATGTACGCGTGTGTACGTGTGCACCTTGGAGTCACAGGTATGCAGTTCTGTTCCCCCAGTTCGAAAACTCTTGATACTTCAGTTTGGGGGGGTACACGCTCCAAAGACCCTGGCCCTAGATGTGGGGCAATATCGATCTGGGGCGCCGGATCGATGTACCATACCTGTTCGGCATACCCGACTACCGTTGAGACAGGCTGTTTCAGGCAGTCATGGAGTCCGAATCTTGTAACTGCAGCGTTGGTTTGGGATTTCTCGACACGGTTTGATGGAGGTTAGTTGGACTCCTTTGCATTACCTGCGACTCACCCAAATAGATTCCTTGGCGATTTGTTTTTACTCCTTTTTCAACAATTTCTTGGACAGTATGCCTGTTCAGTTTTCAATTGACCTATTTGACCACCATGCGGAGGCAAATCCCCGTCAGGGGACATTCCTTGTGGACTCGTAGCCGCAAGGATGTGCAGTTGCCGTCCCAATCACTCCAGCATTGGGTGCTCCAATCCTCAATTGGACCACGAGAGACCAAAATCCCGGGCACTCAGACATCAAGACATCAAGAGTATTTTTTTGTATCTTTGTTGAGCAAGTATCGAAACAAAAAATCAACATTCAACCTCCCATGATCAACCCACTTTACTGTCTTTGCCTCCCGCAAAATGCTACACAGGTTGAATAAAACACGAAGAGACCAAACGCTCAAAACAATTGCATGAATTGATGACATGGCGGTTAACAAAATATATCGTGTTCATAGTGTGCCCCACTTGGCTCGAGTCTCTGAAAAACCATTGTTCGTCACCACGCAAGATAAACGTGGGACACCATCACAAAATTCGATGCCGGCTTTCACCCAGGTCTCCTCATCCACAAGGATCATAGCCTAAAGAACACACACCACACCGCGTTCCCAATCATGTCTTAAAAGGAACGCTTCCTGTTCAAACAATGTTCGATCTGTGTGTTGGTTTTGTTTGGACTTTGAACAAACACAAAAAGCCTAGGCACGTCACATCGTTTGATCTTTCCAGTTTACCATCCAGTTTGCAAAGCCACGTAAAATCGCTCTGATCACACTAGATATTGTGCACACCTGGCCTGCGTAAGTGGGCCCACACGCACTTTGCTTTCTACCAACGCTTCCGGAATCGTTTTGAATTCGTTCTGACCCCGTGAGACCGCCCCGTCCCGCGCCGGTCTCGCCCGTCTCAGGGTGGATCCAACCATGTCTGCGACCACAGGCTCCAAGGCCGGTCCACCGTACCGGTCGCCATGGATCGGTCGTGGTGAAACGACCTCTCATGGGATCGTCTCGTAGCTCTGCAGTTACGACAGGCCTCGAGGCCTAGGAGTTTTGAGGTTCCATACTTTACCATTCTTTTGTATGTATATATGTTATATATGTTACTGGGTGTACTATTAACATGTGTATATATAATATATAGTTACTATTTTAATGGACATGCTCACCCCAAGAAATCCCCCTGGGACCCGTGGGACTCGGTGCTACGAAACCAAAGCACTCCAGCTTGATCAAACTGCGCACGAGGCTTCAGAGTGAATGCTGTGCAAAGCGTGGCCTCTGTGGAGACCGGGCAAACCAAAACCTGAACAAAGTCAAGACCAAAACAAAATGATATCGTTGATATCGTGGAAAAAAACGTCAAAACATGTGGCAAATGAACTGTCTGCCTGGCCATCGTGCTTGACAAGTAAGGGTCTGTAGAAGGTCTTGCCTCAAAGAAACACATGTCATCTCGCTTCTGGCCGAAAGCTGAGATGGTAACTGGCCTCTCTTTGTCGGTTCGGAAGGACATACAAGCCAAACCGGTTAGCAAAGAGGTAGGAGTCGGTAGGAGCCAAAGCTCCACAGGTAAAGCCAGAGTTTGTCAGGGCTCTGTAGTGCTTCAATATCCCAGTTGTCCTGGAGTCCTGGCGACCCTCAACCCCTAGAGGAATGCAATGTCACGACAGTTATTCTTTCCACCTACCTACAGAGTCATGGAACAACAGTCTCTATATTTTCATGGGTGTCAAGAACCATCATGGATAGAATCAACCCAATCATTCCCTAGGAAATGTGTTGAACATAACTTGGTGTCCTTCAGTCAACGGTGCTCTTTCTTTCATTGTTCCTCTCTCTCTTTCGCAATTTCGCAACGGACTCTTCGAAAGTGACGCACGATTATTTTCTGGCCGATTCTGGAGCTCACTAAATTGTGACAACTGTGCACTTTCACGCAGTGGGAAAATCAAAGAACTGGGACAGACTGTAAGCCGTATAGAATCCTGTGTGGTGTCGGTTTTTTGAAATCCTGTGCGAATCTTATGAAACAAGGGTGCATGCGTTATATTTTCCCAATTCTAACGGTTGCCCCTGCTCCAGAAACGGCACCATAAATTATATAAAAGGGGATGCACCTGCAGCCTACAGGAACACATATTGTGATAACAAACGGGGATCTTCAAAGTCTAAGGACTTTTTGTTCCAAATGCTTTGAAAACACGACTCCAGGCCTTATTAGTATGATAATGTGCAGTAAGGTGTGATAAGGCAGCGTTCCTTGAACTCTCTCATATGGTATCTTGCCTCATGTGTATCTCTCTCTCTCTCTCTGCCTCCCTCCCTGTCTACATCTTCAAAACAACCCTGTATCGGTTCTACAGTTGCCCTTATCTCGGCATTTCCATCTGCCCGGACTGGAATCTACCCTACTCGACCCTCGGGATTGCTTTGGAGATGAAGTGGCAGAAGGGCCCGTGCTATGTTTATGTGGAGAATGTTCCAGTAACTCAGTAGCTGTAGCTCCCAAACAGTTCTCCAAATTCTTGCTGAGTGTCTCCAATAATCCCGCTGTGGCACAGGTCGCACCCAAAGCCCTGCGCCCCGGAGCTCCCACGCACCGGCGCCATCGGCGTCAGGTGCACTGGGCTCCCACCGCAGAACCGGTGTGTCAAAGGAAGCAAGTGGCTCCAGCGGCTCCATGCGAACAACGAGCGAGAATGAGGTTGGACGGAGTGGATCTGCGATTTCTTTGACCGTAATTTCATGACGGATTCTTGGGTTTTTCGACATGCGTGTGGCTTCGATTTGGTTGGGTCTGTCGAGTTGACGTGGCTTCGATTGGCAAATCGGTGTTCAAGCAAAGGTCAAACAAGGTGACAAGGCGAGCCTTCCACACAAGTTGCGACGCTCGAAGACTTCAAGCTCATGTCTTACAAACCTGTTCGCCACATAGCTCCTCCTCCAGGGTGAACTTGTTAAATCGGTCGTTGCTTTCACAAAGACCTTGAGTGTGTCGACATGGTCCAAGACGTCTCGGAAAACAAAACACATTGCATATATATATATATATATATTACACATTCATGGATATTCACGGTTCTTTCATGTTCTTTACCATGTCCCTCGTTTCTCAACATTATCCAAAGAGCCGAGGTCTTTCATGTTTTGATAGCATTCGGTCTAATTACTGTGTAATCAGAAAAGTTCTTATATCAACTTATCAAACACCTGGGTATACTTGGACAATCCAGCCCGATGTTTGTATGGGAGGCTCAAACCCTGTTACTCAGTTCTCGAAGTTTTTCCTTTCGCCACTGAAGGCACGGTTACCCTCAAACATCGCCTTCTGTTGTGCACATGTAGTGGGTGATCTTCCAAGGAAACCATGGGTCAGGGGCGCATTGAGATTTGGATGTTCGACTTGATTCACTTCTGGAAGAAAGCTCAGCTAGCAAGGTTTAAGCAACAGCTAAGACCAGCCTTTGCGAATCCCCACAGGGCACCCTGCCATTGCCCAGCTTCGTGTACGCAGCTGGCTGATTGGATGACACTGTCAAAAGCTGCACGGTATCCGCCATACCTTCGGACTCGAGTCCATCTCGAGTCATACGGCGTCATACGGCGTCGGTGGATGTTTCCCTTTCGGATGTTTCGCTCTACGAGATCTTCATATCCACGGGAACTGAACAGAAAGGAAACTGAAGAAGTTGGAGCTTCGAACAGCTTTCGGCTTCACTCCGTGGGATCCCGGCCTGGAGCCAGTCCTAGGACCATGACAGCTTTGTCGCACAGTGCAGAGGACTTCGCTGTGACTTGGTCCAGCTCGGCGCTGTAGACCTTAATCAAACCTAAGGCTCCTCCACGCAAAAAAAACACATACCAAAAGGTGTATATTGTAAAAAAGACAGAAGAAAGCAAGGTCAAACAACAGTTCACAAAGGCATTTATTGTCCTGTTACGATTGCACTAAAATACTCCTTTCCAACTCCTTTCGAACACATTCCAAACAGAATCTGAATGTGAAGTTGCAAACGCAGTTTTATGCTATGCTGGGCACGGCTACGCAGTTAAAGTTGCAGACCGTCTATCAAGCAGTAGCAAAACAAAAGAGCATGAATGCTAATGGGAGACCATGCTGCTGAGATGGGGTGCATAGAAGCTTGATACCGGTTGTGTGAAAAGGCGGCCATCTATCTGTATATGAAACAAATACTAGTAGCTTCTTGTTACTAGTAGTATGGCCAGGAACCCCTAGTAGC